ATTTTAATTATCCTTTGATTACTTAGTTAATCATGACAATATTTTAGTAGTAAATATGTAGAGTTTGAAGTGTGAGTGTGAAAGCCAATCTAAGTATATTAGAGTCATTTTTATTCGTCTGTGAAACAATTACTAGGTCCTACTAGTTAGTGTTTAATAGTAACTATTAAGGTATAGTAGGCTACCAAAAGGCAAAATCAAAACTGTGTTTGCCTAATTAGTTTCTCGAATGTCATAAGTTAAACTATTGGGAGCAAATAGGTAGTAATATTTCAAAGATGGATGAACATGACTCTATTTGTTTTCTTTTATGTCTATTCGATTTTCACAAATTTGATGATCTCACTCTATTCCACTGTTACACTTTGATCATCAAGTTTTGTTTGACGGGTTTAATGACCTCACTATGAAGTACAACGAGGTGCACAATGTAGAAGAAACTCTAAATACTAATATACTTATCAATATACATGTATAGGGATGACATTTTAAATCCTTAATTCAATGTACAATATCTTTGGATAACTCTTAACTGAAAAATATACAATGTTATTGAAAAATCACATGTATCACAATGCACCCGATATATCTTAGTGGTCAGAATATTTGCTAATGACTGTACACACACAAAAAAAAATAATGACAACATGCACGATGTATGATTGTACAATTATATTTTGTTATGTTTAAATAAAGGCATGTTTTACAAATATCATGACTACTTTATTTTATCAATTTGATAAAGTTTATTTAATTCCACCGCTCGAAAGAGGGGCCTGTTTACTTGAGAGTTGTTCGGTACTCTGACAAATTTATGCATCGCATTGTTCTTGTATTTTGATACATTCATACAACAATAGATTTACAATACAATTGATAACAATGTAATGTATTATATTACAAAAAACGATGCTATATGTGCAATTTATCAGAGAATTAGACAAGTATGAAAGCCATTCTAGTTCCCTTTCTCAACCCGACGTTTCACAATTATCCATTTTGAAGTTCCAAGCACCATCTTGAAAGGTTGCCAAGCCTTTGCATCAATACCAGACAGTAGTTGAGCCTGCATGGGTGATAGATACCTTGTAATCACACCAAGGACAATTAACTAATCTTTTTTATTATTTTTTTATTTTATTTTATTTTTTATTTTTTTTTACAATTAACTAATCACAGGTATCTATTATTGCAAGCTCGCTTTGATGCAAAGGCTAGGCTACACACCTTTCAATTGGTGCTGGGAACAGTAATATGGAAATGAATATAATATTGTTGTTTATACGCTCGATCTGGTAGGTAAAAATGCGTTGTTTTGCCGTTACGAATATATACCTCCTCAACTGGTGACATTTCTTTATAATATCAATAAAGTATGGACTGACATAGTTCACATTTGTGAAATCAAGCACTTTGGCGGGTTAGAGAACACTTCAAAGACACAAACCACAATCGTTTTAACACATATGATATAGTACGACCAGAACAAAATCCTTAGTTTTGGGGTGTTTAATGATCCTTTCAATAAAATTACTTGAAGACAACTGTGTTATTCTGTGTTCTTCACGAGCGTAAGCTATGACATTGGACAATTTGTTTCTCAGGCGATGACATCATTTCATTCCAATGTCTAATCTCGCTTCCAAACGATTCCTGACCAGTACCGAGGCTTACATGGCCAATCTTTTGCCGTTTTTGAGTTTAAAATCGCCATAAAAGACATCACAAACAACACTGGAATGAGGAAACTCTTCCTCTTTCATTTGAAAGACAAATTGCTCGTTGAACCAAGAATGTTTATAGTGTGGGGACATGCAAAAACTCACTGGGGTCGTTTGAGTGCACTTGTCCTGTGGATTCCAACTTGGTGATGCATGTAAAGGTACTGATGAYTAACCGACTGAATCGCATTGAGACGGACTGACCCATACAGACTGATTGACTTGCTTATAGACTGACTGACTTATAGGCTCATTGATTTGTTTGATGATCTATTGATCATGCATTTTATTTATTGTTTGATATACAGATGTAGACGAATTTTAATCGCCTGACTGAGTGACTCGCACTGAGACGGACTGACTGACAGTYTCAATGATTGTTTGATTGATTGATTGACCATGCATTGTATTTATTGTTTGATGTGCAGATGTAGACGAATGTAAGCCTGGTGTCCACAACTGTCAGTATCGCTGCATCAACACAGAAGGCAGCTTCAGATGCGATTGTCCCATTGGTTACATTAAAAACGGAGCGACATGTGTAGGTAAGACCGCATTCCTTCATTTTCAACATAACAAACGTCTTTTTCAAAAGTAAACAAGTGGACCAAATAGAAAAAAATTGGGTTGCCAGACTAACACTGTTTGCATTCTATGTGATGGTTGTCGATGATAAACCATTTGTCGAGATGCTCGTAAATAATGTAATTTCTTCATTCAGACAAGGATGAGTGTATGATGACACCAAATCTTTGCAGTGCTGAAGACACTTGCGTTAACACTCCGGGTAGTGACGAAGAAATGTACAGGTTTGTTGACAATAACATGGTCGCTTCTACTGTTTACATGTCGTTAAGATTATCAATGATACCCTTTCCCCTCCCCCTTTAGGACATCGTGGTGCACCAGGCTGCTTCCCTATCCTTTGAAGGCTTCTTTCTTGTACAGCCTTCCTTGCACCCCCCCTTTTTCATAATTTCCAACCCCGCTCATATCTCTCTTATTTCAGATACTAATTGGTTTAAATCAGGGAGGTGCACTGACAATAATTTCTTCATCATTGGTATATTTCAGATACAGACGAATGTAAGTCAGGAGGGGTGTACTGTCAGTATGGGTGCATCAATCTAATCGGGGGGTACAGGTGTGGCTGTCAGCCTGGATTTACTCAAGACTACTACTTCAATCAATGTGTTGGTAAGGCAAAGAAAAATAGATATCATCATCATCATCATCATCATCATTACTTTTATTGTTTATAATCATTTTTTTATGTATCAAATCTCATAATCTGACATTTTATTGGATTTTAATTTGAACGTTAATCTAGCAAATATTAATTAATTTTAGTTAAATAGTATGAAATGATTTTTAACTTTGCATCGGAGAATGTAATAATTTACCTAACAACATTATTGATCCCTGAATTGGTCATCAGTTAATATTATAAGTTTTAGATTTATATTCTTCGTATTCAAGTTACGTCACAGCGGCCATCTTGGAAGAACTTTAACAAAGGAAAAACGATCAATTGCAAAATTCATTTTAATATATTTAGAACATTAGCTTATTGGAAATAAAGGTTATTTGTCTTTCTTTTATTATTATTTTATTATAGTTATCTTTTCGCTTGTTCATTATCCAGAAATATCCCTGCCATTTTTATATGTAATAGGACTCCATGCTGTCCAATTAAGAAATAATTGCACGAGGAAAATTCCGAGGACTGCCAAAAATTGGACGAGGCCGTGGCCGAGTCCAATTTGGCAGTCAGAGGAATTTTTCGAGTCTAATTATTTCTTAATTGGACAGCATGGAGTCTTATTACCTATTAATTATATAGCTACATATTGATCCCAAATAGGTAAAAGCCAACCA